ACATTGGTGACCAAAGTGCCTCGAGGTAGAAAGAATTAAATCTTACCTTGTATCAGCTAAGCGGAATTAGTAGGTAGGACTTCAGGTGGAGTAAAACCTTTGCTGCTTGCACTACAAAGACCAGTCTTGAGTGGTATGTTGCTGTTAAAACAGCCATAATATGCCAGTGAAATAAGACGCTTTACTGTAGTTGTATTTACAGCTACAGCTGGAAAGCAGCAGCAGAAAGAGGAGAAGGGATTAATTCATCAGTATAATTTCAGTATTCACATGTATCACATGTTTAGTAAGGAAGAAAAAAATCAGCTTTTATGTTGTTGTAGGTGTTTTTTCTTGAGCAGCTTCAAATATGACTCATCCAATCTGAACAGGAAAATGAGTTTCCTCAATTTTGGCCTAAGAATGAAACCAGATGCCTGTTTAAAGTCAGTGCTGTTTCTTAGATGGGATATGGAGGCAGACTCTTGCTGAACAGGCAAAAAGTGCCTCACCCGCCTCCACTGCCTCAGTCCCAGTGCATCCTGCTCTCACCCCCCAGTCCAGGCTGTGTGCACCCCCCACCTCCCCAGGGGCATTTGGGGATTTGCACTGTACACAGTTGCTGATTCTTCAGCCGTGCCCCAGAAGGGTTAGTGGGTGAATGAATGGACACTTGTTAAACCTTATCAGTTTTTGCTTTCTTTGGAAAAGCTGCCCCCCTAATCTTAACATGGTGACGTGGTAGTAAAAAGGCATACGACCTACTACAGCTATGTACATACTCTCATCTATAGCAGCGGAAATTGAATAATTGCTGAGAATGAATAAAATCCCTACTGTAATACCTAATATCAAAAAATCTAAGTTTTAATGAAATCAGGCTTAATTTAGACTTATCCACACCTGTGTAGCTGTGTTAGGGGTTGATGTGTACCTATGTAGCAGACAGGTTTTTGCGTAAAAGTACAGTAGGTTGCAGACGGTCTAATGTGGACACCTCCCAACTTTCCACTACACTTTGTGTGAAGCTGCACATCCTGCTCACTGATTGGTTGATCCAACTCTGCTCTGACCAAAACATACTGTAGCTGCCACATCTTATCTCATCTTTCTCTTAGCTCATTTATTTTCATCTTGCAAAATAAATAAATAAATAAATTTTGCTTAAGCATTCAAACACATTGACTGGCAAGGTCTGCTTAAGCCTGAGGTGACACCGCTGCTCCACAGTTAGTTGTCACGCCTGCACCCTTTTTCCTCTCCCTCTTTCCCCTCTCATTCTGGGCTGAGCTGCACCGGCGCGGCTGATTGCCTCAGCTTTTCCCAATTCGGTACTCGGCTACATCCTACTTAAACAGCGTGCAAGTTTGAGCCCGTTGCCAGTTCGCTCCGCTCACCTATAGAGCCTTCGTTGACCCTTCTTTTCTTTTGACATCTACTGGCCATTCCTCATTTAGTGTTCATTTTGCTGTGGCAGTGTGCTTACTCTGCTTTCCTGTGAACAACTTCCTCAATGACTCACCTGGCTGTGCCCCTCCTGGCCCAAGCATCTACTGTCCCGGCTATACAGCTCTCCTGGCCCCCACCGGCCCTACGCCTCACCTTATTAGCCCAGTGATAAGGGCTGGCTCCAACTCCACTTCTGGAGTCCATTTTACCTGTATTCCAGACTCGGAGTCTGCCAACTCTAACATTAGTCTGCAGTCACTATGTTTTACCTCAGTACAGGACAGTTATCCAGCTGGCAGTCCATTCAGCTGTTGTGTTAAAGGTGCATGCTGATATCATGCTACTATTATAATTTGTCTCATTCTTCAGTGCATGTGGGAGGCCTGATACCGCAACATCTTGTCACATGAAACCAAAACAACCGTATGAGAGATAAGTGAGATAATTGTAGCTGGAAGTTTGGCTAAACTGTTTTTTTCTTGGGCATTTTCCTTAGGTGATAACTCTATATTTAGTTTTATTTTTTAAATTTGTATCCATGTTTTATGTCTCTTCTGCTTTGTGTAAAGTACTTTGTAAATACTGTTTTGAATAGTGCTATATAAATGACTTCAATGACAGCTAAACTGTGTAACATGGTGATTAGGGTGTCTGTTGATATTAAAACATTAAACCCATGAAACTAAGAGTCTAATGTTAAACTCCAGAGTGCAGCTGGCAACACGTTCAGACTGGTTCGGACATGCTTGTGGCTCTAACTGTTAGATGTCATGCTGTGTAGGAGCTCAGGTGCTTACAGCAGTGTTGCGAGGACACTTGACGCAGCTGATCGGTGCCAGAAGCCTGCCGCAAAATGATTGCCTTTAAGAAACCTACATGAGAGGACGGCTCTTACATGGTCAGTACTGCACAATGATGGCACTAGAAATGGAGATGTGCTGAGGATGTGGCAGTGGAAGGGTTGAACGAAGGAAAGAAAGTCAGCAAAGAATTGTCAGAGTCCTTTTTATGACTTCTGAAAGGTAAACTGTACTGGGTGAATTTGTTTTAATAATTATTGCTTAACAGAAGCTTTTCCTCTTCTTTCCCCCCCTATTGTCACCATTCCCACTCATTCCATCCCATCTTAATCTTTGCCTCTCTATCAGCTTTTATCTCTCTCGCTTTGCTTTTTCTTTACTACTTCTTTCTTTCTTTTTCTAGGTGCTGTGTTGTACAGCCAAGGCCATTTTCCTCAGAACACACTCTTGAAAGGCTATTCATGGATTTTTCAATGAAGCCCTATTACATTTGTGTCTGTGCGTGTGAGAGAGGGAGAGAGAGACAAAGGAAAAAGAGAGGGAAAGGTATTCCGGGGGCCGTGCTACAGTACCATCTGTATGCAAATCTCAGACTTTGGTAAACTTTGATCAAACACTTAGGCCTCCTTTTCTCTCCCTCTCCCTCCCTCCCTCTCCTGTCTCCCTGTCCACTGTGTGCACTGCAATTACTGTAGCTCCACAGGGCTGCATATTACTTAGCTAAGCCAATGAGTTCCCCAGTACCCTTTAATACCCTCCCTATATCCTCTGCTACCTACCACAACTTCAACATAGACCATTTCGGAGCACCTGTGACCACTCTGGACCCAACAACAGATGGTGACACCTCCCATACACACACATGAACACATACAAGCCCATAGCGAGTCCAGAGTGACGCATGGGTGACGGGCATGCCTTTGTGCAGAGGCTGGGCACATTGCAGACACACACACTTGTCTATGAACACACGCATGGCAGCATTGTTTCCTCCATATGGGAAGGTTAACATGGTGAATACAGATCCGGTGTCCAACAGGACAATAACAATGTTGTGGCAAGTGTTGTCAGTTATTGACAGCGGTAATGAAGATCTCAACACTGATGATACAAACACAAACACTGCACATTATCTCTTGTGTAGCTTTAATGTAAATCTGTGGTGTGTAAGCCCACTAGAGATGTGGTGTGTGTGTGTGTGTGTTTGGGCAGCTTCAGCCAGGCAGTCAGTGGGCTGAAGTATAATGGGTATTAATCAGGGAAAAGCCATGGCCATATGTCTGTTTTAATATGGGAGAACGTCAGCTCCCTTGTAAAACAATTAGTCTAATTTCAGAGAGCAGATAGCGTAACTGTAGTTTGAGCATGAGTGTGTTGGGATGTTGAAGAGGAAGCGCGTTGTGTGTGTGCACAGCTGAGAGGTTTATGATTTAATGTTTAATGCAGAGAGTATGAGAAATATGACACTGGACACTGTTATGATGATGTGTGTGTGTGTGTTTCTTATTAAATATCACAGGTAATCTTACCATCTGAAGCTAACTGCCTCTGTTGGCCCTATTTCACTGGGGATGTTATTGTCCACGAACTTGTTTTCATCCTATAACCAAGCAGGATAAGCCATTAGGCAGATGGTAAGGGGAAGTCCCACGAGAGGACACGCACACAAAGACATGACACACTCCTACCCCATACACAGACATGTACAGTAAGCATGCACAAAGACAACAGACCCACCACCACACCCCTGTAATGTAATCCACCCTCCCCGCTACCCCACCGAGAAGCGCCGTCTCAACCCAGTCTTCTTGTAGACCCATCTTTTACATAGTGGCTCACTTAGTGCTCTTATGGATGAAGGGAGTCTTAAGTAGTTCAGTGTGAAGAGCATGGCATGGTGTTTGATTCATCTTGTAGTACAGTAAACTGTGCGCTAAGTAACGTATTGTTTTTTGCTGAACAAGACAGGGTCATCCTGTCATATGGTGCTTATGCAGTCATTGCTTTCATGGGCAAAAAGGATTAATCAGAGTCATCAACAGTGTGTGTTTTTATGTCTTGTTAATTCCCTTCTCGGCAAGTCTCTTTCTCTTACCCTCTGTGAACATACTGTCGTGCTGAATGGCTGCTCAGCCCATGGCAACAGATTTCTCTTTCAGCCATCTCCAGAGAACGGCCAGCCAGGCTTCTGAATGGCACATATTTGGGCTAAGGCCCAGCACTGGAGGCACAGAGAGGGAAGGAGGAGAGAGGGGAGGAGGCAAGAGCCATGTGGCTGATGTTGGTAAACAGTATCCAGCCTTGTCCTGGCATCATGGCAGGCAGCGCACAACGCCGGAGATATCAGGCGCCTGGGCCACACACAGGCCAGGACAAAAGGTAGACACACATACAGACATTTGCATTCATGCGCACACATGCACACATACACACACACACAGGCAGAAATACAGGGACTTCTAACAGACAAATGAAAGACTCACTCTCGGTGTCTGCCACTAAGCAGCTGCTCCAGTTTCCATGGCAACAGCCTGAACAATGCAGTAGGAAGAACTGTGTTGGTGAGAGGAGGGAAATAGAGGAGTGTGTGTACGCCAGCACACTTGAAGTATGCGTTGGTGTGTGTGTGTGTGGGTAGGTGGGTGGGTGTGAGAGGCTACAGAGGGGGAGATAGCCGCAGGGCGCTGAGATTCAGAAGACACACTCTTTATTTCTTTGTCAGGATGAGTCTTGGAGATCAACAAAACAAATATGGAAATGTGGAGGCAAACAGAGAAAGAGACCGATATACAAGGATGGAGGGTTTCCAGGTGATGCTGGCAGTTTTTAGTGACAATACAAAGACAGAGATGTGGTTTTTGTCTATTTATTTTTCAAAATGAGGTATTTCAAAGTGCTATGAGTTGCAGCACTAAATGTACATTTAAAAAAAAAAAAACAAAACATTTGTTTACCCAGTTTTATGCACCCGATTGTTACAAATATAAACAAAAGAGGAAGAAAGAAAAGGGCCAGGTACATGAAGATAGAACACCTTTGCGGTACAAAAAAAAATATCTGAGATAGAATAAAAAAACGACGAGATAAAGTGATATCTACTGAGAACTCATTTTCATACGAAAATATAAGTATCAAATTTAGTATGTATCAGGCTCACACTAAAAGCATAAAGGTGTATAGAATTAGTAATATGATACAATGCAAAGAGAAAGAGAAGAAAAGCACAATAAATTGTTATATTACAAAGTTTCACGACTCTCAAAAATCGAGGCCTTACAGTACTTTTAAAGGTATATAAACTTCCAGTCTACTTATTGGCAGCTTCAAGACGTATAAAAAAACCGAGGACAAAATGTAGTAAAAAACAAGGCAGATCTGAGTGTATTTTCTCTGTACTCTATTGTTATATACAAAAGTGTCAGCTAGCAAGGTGCGCAGTTATACATCCACTGACTTGGCCTGAGCACCAGTGTGAGAGGAGTGAGAGAAGGGGAACCTGTAGTGGCATTGTTTATGTGACCCATAACGTCTCAGTTGTCATAGTCTCTTCCGTTTTGCAGTGGTTGAAGGCAAAGTAAGTGTGCACTGCTTCTTGTACATGAACTCTCCAAGCAAAGTGCCCTCTAACACCCGTCCCTGTGGGAATCACATGATTCCAGGCTGGTGTCACAGTGAGTACAAAAAAAGGGATACAAATAGAAATGGTAAAAAAAACCAGAGAAGGTCCAGACCAAAAAAAAGTGTGTCCTCTCTCCTTCCCTGTTTTTTTCCCCCAACTTTCCTCAATGTGACTGGATTGAAAAAGTAAACCCTAAACATTCTTAACGTCAACAAATGTGCAAAAAAAGTGGCGGCAGTGAAAGTCTGAGCATCCCTCCAGCACCCCTCCACTCCCTGCTCCTCCAGGTGTATGTGTGTCAGCATTTGAAGATAACGTCCTCTGAGATGTGTTGTGTTTGTGTGTGCATGTATACGACAGATATGCAGGTTATGTATATGTGCATATAGGCCTATGTGTGTATGTGTGTCTAATGGTGACTGGTCTGGAACAGGAGGGGGTCATCCAGAGTATCAGTGAGTGTTTCTGTGTTGTAGTGGTGGCCTGTTAGCGAGTCCGTGCCTGCTCCAGCCTGCGCATAAGCTGCTGCCTGCGGGCCTGGAGCCTGTCCTTCTCCTGCTGGAGCCTCATCTCCTCTGTTTCTAGTGAACTCACATACTCTGTGGCCTTCTTCAGGATCAGCACCTTAGCTGCCTTTTCGTTGTGCGCCAGCTCTGGCACATGGTCACGAAGTGTCAGGAAGCTTGAGCGCAGATCGTTGCGGCGCTGGCGCTCCAGGATGTTGTGGTTACGCCGACGCTCACTGTCCTCTGAGTCGGAACTTCCACGTGGGCTGCTGTCCCCGCTGGTGCTGCGCTTGCTGCGTGGCCCTGACATGTTGGTGAGTGAGCTGCAAGATGTGGAGGAAGATGAGGAGATGGTTCTGACGGGAGGTCGTGGGGCTTCTGATGTCTTTTGCTTCTTTGGAGGTGGGGCGGGGTCGTCGTCTGAAGCGTACGGGGAGGGAGCTGCGTAGTTGTGCTGCTGCTGGTGGACTGAGCTCCTCTTTAGGATCAGCTCCTGAGGCGCTCGGCTGACGAACCGACTCACCATGCCGGACCCTGAGACACTTCCTCTTGCGTCTTGACTCTTGGGATGCACAGAGATTGTGACTGTGCCTGTAGTCATGGGTGATGCCTTGTTGGTTGTGGAGCGCCTCTTCTCTACTGTAACCACATCGATCTCCTCCTCATCTTCCTCCTCTTCCTCCTCCTCATCTTCTTCCTCTTCTTCCTCATCATCATCTTCCTCTTCTGGGAAAAGAAAACAGAATATGAGTGACTTAATTGCTCTGACACGCCAAGTATTCCTGCTATGTCATATATGTGTACCAGCAGGTGACAAACAAGCATGGTGCACGCCTATATGTATGAGTGAGATCAAGAGAGGAAAGCGTGGGAGCGAGAACGCTGCATAACACGTAACCTTTTAATGCTTAGTGTCAGTCGCTCCTCAGCTGAACTACTCTGCAGGTGTTGACACGTTCAGTCTCAGCACTAAGCAGACAGGCTGGATTTCTGTCTTTCATTCTCTCTACTTCTTTAAAACTTCTCTTAATCCTCTGCAGTGAGACGATGCAGCTTTACATTAATGCTTTCATTCTATCAGTTCAGCACTGTGTGATAGTACTGCAGGCATTTAGAACTTAAACTTTGGCCTCCACAGTGACGTAAAAAAAATCGTATTCCTTTTTCAGCTGAGCTCTTCATTTTAATAACTGTGCTGAAATTGAGCTGAGCAGCTGAGACTTATCATCGACTGGCGCCTTTGATGATGAGAGGAAGTGGCCAATCATGAGGCAGAGTGTGAGGCCCAGTTGAAATGCCTTTGTGATAATAACTCTCATTATCAGCTCAGGAGCATCTGAAGAGTGTGGCATTTTACAGCTTATACAGTAACCCACTTCAGACACTGCTGCACCAGGGTGCTGGCTCAACACAGACACCCCCCACCCCCCACCCACCATACAGAGTCTGGTGCTGCCATCAAAACAAAGCTGGGCATAGCTGGGTGGGGGCGTGGCTGGTTTTGCCACATGTGACGCTGGGATTTAGCTGTTTGGTTTTTCACTCAGCTCATTTACCGGGTCTGGGATGAGTTTAAGTAGAAGAAAGAGCACACACCTTCCTGTCTGGGGAAATAAAATATTACCCTAAAGTTAGGTATAAAGTATTCTGTCTAGGAGAACTATCCAAGTATCTCTGCCAAGTCCTGACATCTGTACAGCTGATTTTTGGAGTGGTGGGGGTCCCTTGTTTCCTGGCACGGCCTCTTTGATCCGAAGACTGGCCTCTCAATAGAGATAAATCTTCATTGTAACCTTTACAGTCTGTGTCTCTAGTGAGAAAGTAAAGAACGCGTGTAACATACAGAATAACGCCCCTTAACGCTGCCAGCGGAGGAAGCGCATTGAAGCGATACTGTGAGCTGGAGGATGAGGCGGCAGGCGATCGGACCACTACCCTTTCTAAGCCTCGGACTTGGAGCGGCGCCAGGGAGACAGCTGTCGGGATAGAGCGCTTGTTCAAAGCTGTCACCCCCTAAAAGAAGCGGCCAATGCCCTCCTCTGTCCTCTTTTCTTCGCAGTGGAGGAGGTGTTTGGCAAGGCTGACTGAGTCTGGCCTCTGTGCCAAGCTGGAGGCCTTTGTACTACTGTTTCACAGCGAAAACATACTGATAAGAACCCGCGAGTGTTTGTTTAGGGAACTCATGGGCAGCAATAGATGGGAGATGAACACTTATTTTGATTAAACACACACAGCAGTAATTTCGCACAATAAACACATAACTGCACCCTACATTATTCCTGAAAAGAAAATGGGAACCCGTGTATGATTTTGTTGTATACTTCCTTATGCCATTATAATGTATCAGTTGTGTTCTTTCCACTGGCTAATTTCAGTTATGAGCTGAACTTAACGTGGCAATTTGTGCGCCTGGTCTAAAATAAGAGAACGTTTTTCACCCACTGTGCGCAAATTGTCAGTTAATCCATGCGTAATGAAAGCTTTCTAGGCGCTGTGTGAACCAGGCACTTTATCACTTCATCACATTACTGAACACCTTTTCATCTTCCCCTCCTACACCAAGGTCCGGCTGCAGTCAGTGTGTGTGCATGTGGTGTCTTTTTGTTTGGCTCATAGGCCAACTGAGTTCAGTAAGGCACACAATTCCCCATTTTACTGCCATCTGCCGGATGAAGAGCCTGCTGATTACATAAACCTCGTTCAGTGTGTCACGCAGCAACTTGTGTGTGTGTGTGTGTGTGTGTGTGCGCGCGCGCGCGGGGGGGGGGGGATGTGTGTGTGGAATGTAACGAGGTAATCCGATTCTGGACCAGTCATATGAACAAGCTCAAATAGGGATATAATAATATTAATAGTAGTAGTAGTAGTAGTAGTAATACTACCACTACTACTACTAATCATAATGATAATAATAATGTTATATTTTATTGTTTGAGGTTTTCTTGCCATCATTGTTTCCTAAAAACGAAAACAAAGGCACATCTTCAGATTCTTACCGGAGTCACTGGGAGCGTTCCTGTGTGTTGTGGATGTGTTTACTGTCCCGGATGAGTCCCTGCTGCAGTTGTTCTTGTTGACGGGGAAGGGAAATACTATTGTGGGGTCCACACACACTGACACCGAGCTGCGGTTCACCACCTCCGGTGTCCTGACGCACACGTTCCTGCCACCTCCGGTGGCTGTGGAAATAGCTTTGCCGAGTTTCTCCGTGACAACCCGCTCCAGCTTTTCCCTGGCCGAGAAGCCACTCCACATACAGTCCTGAATAATGATGCTGTTGGGGTTAGTATCCAAAGCGGAGCCGAACAGGTCCCCATCGTCGGATGCCCCCCAAATATCGTCTTCGGGCAGGAGCAGCAGCTCAGAAGCCCAGTCCAGAGGGTCCCCTAAGCCGAAGCCCAGGGGGTCTGCTTCCGGGGAGGCAATCGCCGGCTCCCCCGGTAGCGCGGCCCGGCTCGGAGAGAGGGGCGGAGTGGGCAACAACTCGAATTTCTTCCAGATGTCCTCCCCCGGTGGTGCAGAGTCGGGACCACAGAAATAGAAGTCGTCCTCATCCGGGTAGAAGCACGGTTGTAATGAGTCAAACTCCAAATCGGAGTTTTTACCTCTGTTCGCCGGCATTCTCTCCCTCAGTCGTTAAACCTGGAGGAACAAAAGACACTTTAGTCTACAGTGTGAAAGAGCGTTTCTCTCAACTCTCTCCTCTGTCACACCTGAAAACTGCAGTGTAGAACATAAAGAGCAGAAGTCAAAGCCCACACACAGACACAGTCTAAATTCCACACTCACTCCTATGTGAGGTTTAAAAACCACTGAATTCTCACAGGAGAATGTGCGTAAATGCCATGTTGCATAAAATGTCCAAACACTACACATTGGCTCAACGTTCACTAAACAAACCATAAAATGTTATTAGGACACAAAAAGCATATTTCCAGAAAATGAAATGGTTGAGACTTGAGGTTTTATGTGGGGGGGGCGGAAACGAGAAAATAATAACACATTGTGAGAAGATGCTCACCTCGTCCTGACGCGGGATGATAATGTGCGAACCAAATTTTCTCCTATCTCGCAATCAGTAATACAGACACCAGCTTTAAAGCGGTCATCAACTTTGGGAGCACAGACAACCCTCTAACACAGGTTGTGGCTCGCAGCACAGTGTTATACACTCAGTTCCACAGGAGGAAAGCAAACTCCTCCCTCCCGGGCTCGGGGGGTGGTACAGTCGGGCTTTGGGGTTGATGCGGCGCGGGAGACAGGCTGGCTGCAAGCTTTCTTTCAAGGTGAATCGAGAAAATAGCCTAAACATTGCAAGCAAAAACGAAAGCAAGAGAAGAAAATAAAGGGGCAAGATAGAGCACGAGGGAAAGGCAGAAACAAAGGAGACGAGAAGAAAACAAAGGAAGGACAGAAAATGTGTGAGGAAGGAAAGGAAGAAGAAAATCTATATTATTGATAGCCTCAGGCAAACTGCATTTTCTCTCTCCCCCATAACTGTTAAAGCCAGAATCAGCAGCGGAACTGTTAGTGATGTGATGTCTTGTTCAGATTGCCCAAGAGCACTGCAGCAGGTTGAATGCTGAACAGTCCAAATGAAGGACACAGCTGTTGAACCATTAACCCCACAAAGGCAAACATACTTAAACATTTATTTATTCTGTAACATTTTTTTTTGTTTTGTTTGGAAAGATTTTCAATGGCATGTTGGTGGATCTTTTTAAAACACCCCATGTAAAAATCCACACTGATCCGTCCAAATATTGAAACACTCTCAAGTCCAAACAGTATGAAAGTGATAATTACGGCACCAGTCTCACTATGGATACACGTGTGAGTGTCAGTCATTTAAAACGATGTGTAAAGATGTTTTCCAACTCATCAAACCCCACTGCCCTCTTCGCGCTCTCCTGTAGAGCTCTAAATATCTTTTTCTCTTTTGTCTGAGGGCCACCAGCGTCCCAGGATGAGACCAAGTATGGCTCAGTGCGCCCTCATACGGACGCAGAGAACACAGCAGCAGACGCGCACCCCGATCACCTAAATAAGCGACCCAGAGAGACAAAGGCAGAGTGGATTTTTCCTAAATGAAAGGGGAGAAATGCCACTTGGATAAAACAACAAACATGGCTTTAACTGTAAAGAGCAGCCTTTAATCAGACAATAGGAAATGCAGGACGGAGCAGTTTTCAGCTGTCTCCGGGAGACTACAGGATCTGAGAAGAGCATGTTACGTAACCGCAAGCGGTGGTTGTAGCCTGGAGTCATTCCCATTCTCTTTTCCAGTGACGGCTCAGGAGGAATGGAGCATCTGTAATTATGCAAACAGTCACAGGCGCACACTGAGCCCCTGATATCCACTTATTCAGGAAAAACTTCAACAAAACGGATTCCAGTTGAACGGGAGCTGAGAGCAGAATAATTCCTCTTATTATCAGACAATGGAAGGCGGTGAAAATGATATTTAATCATTTGAGTTGTGCTTTTTTAAAGAAAAAAATATTAAAGACTAATTTTATTTCTTTGTAGGATTATTCCAACACAGTCCTTCCACCTGTGATAAATGTGATTACAAAATACAGAATCCAGATTTATGAATTTAATAACAATGTGATTCGATACCAGAAACACTGCATGGGGATTTTTTTTTTACTTTCTCTTTCCTTCTTTTTGTGGTTGGGGTTGAGTTCAAACAAATACAGCCAGTGAAAAGTGAGAATCTGCAGCTGTTTCACCCAAAAACTTGGAATAACAGGGAGTTCCCTGGGACTTTCTAGCCAGCTCCCGGGAACCGGGGACATGGTCTGGGAGTCAGAAACTCCCCACAGTCCATCGTCTCTTTTACTGTTTCTCCAGCTAGAGTTCAGCTATGACCCTCAACCGAAGCAACAGCTTCCTCTGCAGTGAAACCGGGGAGAGTGGGAGTGAGAACAGAAGGGAAAGTTGTTTTTTTTTGTCTAGTGCAGATCGGGTGAAGACAGGAAACTCTATGGAGCTGCAGAGTAAACACTTAATGACAATAAGCAGATGGATAGGAAACCCCTGGCTTCATGCTGCTGTGGAGTGGCTTGGCATAGAGAAAAGAGGCTGAAAACAACAAGTGCACAAACACAAACTGTGCATTTTCACTTTACTGATGTGCACCGAAATTACTCAGATGTTGGTATGACATGCAAGGAAGTAAATGGAAAACACACTTTCCAGGTGTCTACAACTTAATCATTTATATTATTATTGCCTCATGTTAAAGAGACCCTGCTGTCAGAGCGACTGCCTGTGGATAAAGTCCATAAAAACACACAGAAGTAGAACAGTGCTAGGGTCTTTGCCTGTTGTTTTGTAGGTCAATTCTGCATGCCTGGGATATAGATGGATAAGCAAGTGGGGCAGTTTTGATAAAAGACTCAGAGGTCACCCCAGTGGACGGTGCAGAGATGAGCATGTTGTGAGTGCAGCTGACTACAGCGACATCAGATTCCCTGTGATGGCTCAAAGAATTTGCACATCCTGTCAATGTTAAGGGTGTGTTGTGTGTTTGTGGTTGCTGTGGGTGTGTAGATGTTTTGTTCTTAGTGTAAACATTCAGGGATGCAGCTCTCCTGAGTAAATACAACATAACGTCATCCCATAACCTCAGCTCACCTGTGATGTGACACATATTCATAAGCTGTGCGTCTCATTCTCTGAGCTCCTGGTTCTTTTCTACCATCTCCTCTCTCAACAATGACAGTACTCCAGAGGATGAGGAGTTTTGAAATTGACAATTTTATGCTTTATATAAAACATAAATCTTTGTATTGTATAATTGGATTTCCTCATCATTCATAGAAATAGTTTAAATTATATATTTTAAAGCTACAATATGCAACTTTTTTTCAGATATTCTTGTTGTAGAAACTTGTCTTAATGTGGAGAGGTGCTGTCGAAGCCTCCTGTGACCCAGACTCATTGAATAGCACTGACAGCAGTGCAGAGAGATGAGCTTCTAAAAGGTTTTTAGCACAACTAACCTCTCTAACCGGTCAGAGATGATTTCTGCTTGTTCATTAAGATTTGCTGCATTCTCATTTATTGTAATTTCATAACGGCAAATATCTGAAGAGCTGGGCAGAGCGGAGCAGATTGCACTGTAGCAGAGCATAGCGGAGCAGGGAGCGCTGGGTTGATTTAGAGTTTCATGCTGGTGTTGCCTTAAGTTACAGATTGTTGCTTTAATAAATCCTTCCTTAGCTGTATGATCATGTTGGAGGTTGCGCTGCTGTTAAACTGAACAGCATTATACAGAGTGGTGTATCTGTTACTAAGCCCAGCCTCATTGATCTACAGGGTGTGGACAACATAACAGAAGCACCTGTTAGTCTGAAGCAGTGTAATTCAGCAAAAACTCCATAGTTTTTCTTTCATTTTTAACCACTGGGTCATATTTTATTTGATATTTTGGTGTTTCAACACATGCTGTCAAGTATATGAATCCTCCAGATTGATTTTAAAATAATTGTAGTTTATCAAAATTGCTTTAAAATAGACAGAATGCTAGGAAATCCATGGTCCATGTATGAAGCTACACCAGACAACTACAGCAGCTCAGGGTACTGCACGGTACTGTCTGCTTAATGTCTCCTCTTCTTTAATCAGATTCCACAGTGACATCTTCTCCTCAAACAAATCAACTCAAACAAGGGGTCGTGTTTGTCCCTGATCCACATCATTACATTTCAGCTTCAGAAGAACCTTCCACCTCCTCACAGCACACACTCCCCACCCACTTCACCTCACCCCAAACTAACCCAGGCATTAACTTTATCCCTAAAGCTACAGCAACCCATCCAAACATCGGCTTCAGTCCCATGTTTGCTTCTTGCAGCAAGTTGTTTTAAGGTTTTGACCTTGTTATCTTTGGGGTTCACACTAAATGGGGATAAACATTAGTTTTTTGCATTTACAGTGCCACATGTTTATTTTGTCACCAGGACAGACAGCAGTTAAGTATTTTTAAAGTCAACGTAGTGTGTGGCTTCCTATGATAGGTCTTCACCGAACAGAATGCAACTGTGCATGAGCCTCATCTGATAATTCAGGTAAAAAGAAGCTCTTTCTTTTAAATGTTGGCGCCAGAGATGACTTCATCAAGATTTTGCAACAGACTTAGCCGTGTAGAGAAAAGCCAGAGCAAGTTACAACAAAGCTCTGGGATCTAATAGCAATTCCTCAGTGGACAACCCCAGCAAAAAACATTTTCAGTGATTATCAAGTTATTTTGAATGTAGGCCATTATGACAAATATGCTCAGGGAAAAATTGTTTGTTTCCCACGTTCTATTTTTGGGGGACATTTTCCCATCAAGTCTATTTTGGGAAGAATGAACTTGCCACGGAAGTGTTTTGGCCTTTTCATGCTGCATTTTGAAAGTGCCAGAAGTGTGCCTAAGGAAGCAGTGAAGTCTGTCTTGTTAGATCTTGCCCCTCCAACTGTGTCTGGGTCTGCCTATAGGTCTACCTGTACAATTACAGCACACATCAGATGATTCATAGCAAATATAAACATCACTTTTTCCACCTGAGTGCTTCTGCCAGGATCTCTAGTGCGCTCTAGTTCATACAGGTTAATCCGTCTTTTGTCACAATAGTAGATGCGTTGGAGCCAGTTGAAAATGGATATAAAAGCACTTGTCTTCATATATAGGAATTTACCAAATATGTTACAGTAACACACCTCCCATTTGGCCAGAATGTTAATTTATATGGAGATATTTATCAGTTAGAATATTAATTACTGCCAGCATTATCATAACCTCATGTAGTAATATCAGTGTCAGTGAGGGTGTTGGTATAAGCTGCTGTTCAGGAAGTACTTGACACATTAGCTGGAAGAAATGCAGTTATCTACCAGTGGACCAGATGAGGAATGCATTAAGAAATTTCATGTGGGTGGTAACCAGGCATCCAGTGTGTGTGGGAGCAGCATCAGAGATGAAAAGTGATATGCACGTATACGCCATTTCCAGTGAGTCTAGATAAGAAACAGGTAATTTTATGGGGTAACGGAACATATACTGATAGATGGGGCTTTGACTAAATTCTGTGCTCACTGTTTTCATGGATTTCTTTAAAGAGTCCTATGATTTCTTGTCATTTATT